GCACCCTCAGAACGAGGACAGCCGACAGACACAGCGGCCCTTCCTGGAGAAGCCACTTCATCTGCCCGACTGACGGATCCTCGACACGAACCTCCCGAGCTCACGTCCGGCCCTGGTTCCATCCGCGAGAGCAGTCGAAAACAGAACTTTAAAAAGACCAGACGATCCCATCAGAAGACGGGAGGGCAACTGTGTTTTTAACTTATATTCAGTTTAGTGGTTTCTCCAAAAACAACTAGGAACTCGTCGCCAGGATGAGGATGTGGGGCCTTTTGCGGCTCCAACCTCTCACCGCACGTTAGCTCGTGTCGTAAGTGACGGCTCCCGCCTGAGAAGCCCAAAGTAGAGAAAGAAAATTATGTGGATGTTTGTTCTCCGCTTTTGAAAACATGTGATATGCTTGTGTGTGTATGAATATGCAAATTATCTTATTTAACTATAAAGAATAAAATCACAAATGTGGTCTGGCTTCATCCCTGCAGTATTCACAGCTTCACGTGCTCTTGAGCGCAGCACCTATTCATTTATGGTTCGCCTGCTGTATACCAGACACCGGCTGATGCTGGGAGAGGGTCAGAGACCCACCCTGACCTCATGGGACAAGAGAAGGACATGGGCAGACAAACTGGCATTGCCTAGAAGTGTGGCCGCGGCAGCCGAGCTTAAGGGCAGAACAGGCAGCACCTCTGCCTGCTGACCGCACAGCTCACAGCGATGACAAAGGCAGGAGGGGCTGCCCGTGGGGGCGGCCGCATGAGACCAGGGCTGGTCCCGCATCCCCTTGGCTTCCGGCCCTCGGAGGCCAGTGGCTGCCCTTCCCCATGGCACTGTGGCACCGATTCGGCTAGTGCAATAACTCGGCTAGGGCAGGAGCTGGGGCACCTCTGCTGACTGCGTTCGGGGGGCGGGGGGCTCTGCCAAGGTGCCCAGGCCTCTCTGCACAGAAGAAACCACAAGGAGGCTGCTTAGGCCTGGGCTTTGAGAAGCAGAACCTGGGAGCCATGGTTCTGGCCAGTCTTGGCCCAAGCGCCTCCCTACACTGGGGGCAAAGTGTTTCTCTGCCAACGCATGGACACACACTGAAAACTCTGAAGGGCAAATTATTTCAAAATTAGCCTCCTCCTGAGAAGGCACGGGGGATGCAAATGCCTTCCTGGTCACTGCCTTAGTTGGTTTTCTCTATAATTTAAAACGTGTTTTCCAATTATGCCCTGATTCTACAGAAAGCCACGTTAGACGTGAATGACCTCTAAAGCCTATTTTGATTGAAGCACTTAAGTTTCCGGCAAACTGTACAAATCAAGACCCCATTATCAAGGCTGAATGCCTCCGCGGTTTCCGGGGATCAGAGTAAGTGCAAAAAAATTCCAATTGGTAAATGTTAAAAAGAAAAAAAAAATCACAAAACAGGTCTTGTAGGGGTGTGCCCCTCACCTGGCCCACCCTGGACAGAGGCCCAGCAAGGCACCAGGAAGCCCCAAAACCAGAGAGCTCATGGCAGGCTTTGTGGAGAGCCAGGTCAACTCTGCCTGAACCCCCTCGAGGGCTGGGCTAGGGTACCTGCACCCAGCCACACTGGTGCTCACTCTCCCTGCAACGCCAGTCTCCCGTCAGTGCAGCCCACACTGTTCACAGGCTCTTCTCGGAGCCAGCCAGGCCCTGCTCTGGGATGAGAGCGCTGGGGCCCAGCATCTGCAGAGAACTGAGCTGGGCCGGGAGCCACTTTGTGAGCCCTATCCCTGCAGGACAGCGTCTCCTGTGGGCAGCACAGAACCACAGGCGTGACGGCCCCAGGAGGAACATCATTCAGAAGATGCCCCCGCAGCTGTTCCGAGGTCAGCCCCAGAGCTTCCAGGCTGGGCCAGCACAACACCTAGAGGCAGGGGTGACCCGGGCCCTCGGGGCACAAGGGCTTCACACACACCATGGCTGTAGCATTAAAGACCGCCCCAGCCCCCGCCATCTGGGGCACCCACACCACCCCTGCCTCCGACCCCAGGAATGCTGGCAGGAGGGGAAGGCTCCAGAGGGGAGCTCCCTCCTGCCCTGCTGCTAACTGACCCCCAAAGCGTCCACTTCCTGCAGACAGAGGACCCCAGGAAAGCCAGCAAACGCCTTCGCCCTCCTCCGCACGTCCCCAGCCTGCGGGCTCCCTCAGTGTCAGCGGCGATGTGTGTGTGGCGGCCCCGGCAATCAGCATCTACCTCCTCCCTTCAGCAGCACAGCTGTCAGCTCACCCAAGAACTCACAGCCGGATGCAGCCACGGGCCACGCAGAGCCTCTGCTCTGTGCCACACCCCGTAAGCCCTGTCCCGGTGACCATGCACAGGTGGGTCCTGCTCCACCGACCGGGAGCGGTTCCCACCAGCGCTGAAGCCCAGGCCGCAGATGACCCCTGGTGAAGAGCATACCTGGCGCTTTCTCCACGAAAATGACCTTGGAGTCCTGCAGGAAGTTGTGGCCGGACAGGACCATCTTCTTTCCGCCCATGACCGGGTAGCTATCCGTGCTCTGCTTCTCCACAAGAGGCAGCTCCTGGGCCGAGCGCTGGGCTGCATCAGGGGGAGAGGGGCGGTGAGGGCCTGTCCTGGGTGGGCGGCCCAGGGCACACGTGTGGCACCCAGCAGGTCACGCGTGAGCCCACCCACCCAGGGCAAGCACCGCCACGGCCGGCGGGCTGAGTCCTGCGGACGCCATTTCTCCTAGGGGAGAAGCCATGCACATGAATCCTCATGGTCTCCACCTCGTGCTGAAGGCGGCATCGAAATATCCTCCTAAGACTCAGCCAGTTTCACGCAAATCACAGTCACCGCACAAATACGCAAAGGTCAGCACAGCGTGGGGGAAGCCCTGGCCCACACCGCGTTCCCTGGCCATGCTCGAGCATCAGAGGAGCCAGAGCCAGGGGCCCCCGGAAGGGCCACAGGCAGTAACTCAGCCGTGATCAACTCAGACCCCACATGGCCACACACTGTGGTGGGTTTGGTGGAACAGTTCAGTACCAAGTCTACACAAACGAAAAGCCGAGAGAGGGAAAGACAGCGACAGCACGTGGGACACCGACGGTTTCCTTCCCCTGCAGCGCGCGGGTGTCCACTTACAACATTCGATGGGGTTGGAGGCCACCTGCAGGGACAGCGTGCGGCCGCTGGGCTGCGGGACGTGAACACGGAACACCAGCCGTACCCGTGTGTTCTTCCTCCCGATGTCCGTCTCTCCTTTCCGAAGTTCAATGTCGGAGTTTCTGAGCTTCAGGATTCCAGCACAGTCAATGCTGCCCAAAACAAAAGCCCACAGCTTTTCCTTCACTAGCTGACACGGGAGCAGAAAGGCCCGGCCCCCAGACCCTCTGGCCCTCCCCCTAGCCCCGCGAGCTCATGCCAGGGAGCTGGTCACTGTCCCTCCCCCGAGGAAAACAAGACCTTGAAGCTGCCAACCTCCGTGAGGCCCTTGCCTAGCGCAGAACAGAATCCGACGCTGGCACAGGTGAGAGGGGGTGAGCGGAGGCAGCCCCAAGAAAAGCGACTTCCACCTTCCCCTTTCTACCTTCCCCTTCCCACCTTCCCCTTCCCACCTTTCCCTTCCCACCGTTCCCTTCCCACCTTCCCTCCAGCCTCCAGCCCTGACCAAGTGGGTCCAGTCAGAGCTGTCCCGAGTCCTGGCTGCCTCTAGCACCCACGCTGGCCACGTACACGGGGATGTCACCAGAGTGGCAGAGAGCAGCCCAAGGGAGGGGCCGGAGGCACCTGCTGCTCTCTCTTATCTTGGAGTAGTTCCCAAAAAACTTGATTTATCAGAAGATGCTATTATTTCCACTATATTTAAAAGCCTTCATTTTTTGTGTGTAAAACCCGTTTCTTCTACGGTTTCATATAATCTCTTTCAACTTAACAATTTCATTCAAAATCAGACTCCAGTAAAACATTCCATGTGTATATTCTCAATGCACTAAAAAGCAGTATTTTTAAGTTAAGAGAATGAGAATAAACAGAGACACCCTGACCACCCTTGAGTGGGCACCGAGCACCAGGCTGGCGTGCGGTCCTGGCTGTGGGCGTCTCCCGGCCAGCCTTGCTGCCCCACATCATGGTGGGGTGAACACAGCCGCCAGCGAAGCCAGGACATTTACCGCGGCTGCGGAACACAAGGTTTGTTCTCGAAAACCACCTGACTGTGCCCCGTCTGCAGGAAACTTGGATTATAGCTCTCCAGGCAAACCCAGGGATTCAGAATGAGCTCCCAGGTGCACACATTCCCCCCAACACTTGCAAAGCCAACATGGAGAGAAAGCGTTCCCTTTGTTTTTGACTTAGAGGCTTTGAGTCACTTATTAAAATGCCTGACGTGGCCCCTGCCGCCATCTCCTACATGCTGTCCCTCCCCGTGTGGGGCTCCTCCCCACTCCTGCAGCCCCAGGACCTCTGCACCCACCCCCGGGGCTCCACCTGGATGGGGCACCCCCCTACAGCTTTGCCATCACACGGGCTCCCGGCCTGCGGGTCACCCTCGTAGGACGCTGTCCCTGCCCTTCGGGCCCGGCTCTATCCTGCTGGTCTGCACGTTCCAGCCATCCCAGCTCAACCTGCGCTCATTCACCCATAGACGTGTTTGTCATCTGTTCCCACCATGGTACCATGGGAATCTCTCAGGAACCAGCGGTCCTCTTTCCTGGCTGCCTTCACAGGTCAGGGCCAGCGTGCCCAGCACAAGCTGGGATTAAGCGAGTAAGGCCTTATTTGGAAATTACATGTTTTGTCCTCGGCTTACTAAAAAATTCACTTTCAAACAAATTACAGTGCCAAATTAGACTCAGAACGTCAGCGCGGGCCTATCCGTGTTGTCCGAACCTCCTAAAGTTCAACGTGGTCCGGATATGCTGACAGCTTTAATTTTTTGATGCTCACGTTTTAACCATCCTTCTCACTACAAAACTGCTGTATTCAGAAAGACACAGGGTCCTGTTCAGGAGCTACATGCGGAGGGAGGTACTTATACCTGCGTATCTGGGATATCATTTTAAGTGGCAACATACACAGAGCTGAAACCCTAGAGAGAAGCAAATCCATTGTCAAAAGCAAGAGTGAGGTTTACTTACTGGCTGTTAAACCAAGAGTGTCCTAGCCACAGAGCTTGGAAGTGCAGGGGGCCGGCCAGACCCCCCAGGGCCGGGAGGAAGGCACGCCCCGCCCACCGCCCCCACCAGAGGTCAAAGGTCGAAGGTCCCCGCGCTTACACGGCTCGCATGCTGTTCTCCGGCAGGAGCGGGATCTCCAGGACTTTGGTGTTGGAGAGGATGGCCTCGTGGCTGGTGGTGGACACGGTCTTCCCCGTGATACGGTGCACCTGGTAGAAGGCGTGCGGGCGCAGCAGGCGGTCGTCCGCCGTCCCGATGAAAAGCTGCAGCATCAGCGGCTCACTCTCCAAGTAGCCATGGAGCTGGCGAGAGAAGAGGAAGCACCCACTCAGCACCCAGAGTGCGGACCCCTGGGAGTCACCGAATGCAGAGAAAACCTGCAGTGGGTTCGAGGCCTGCGTCCCCCTGTCCTACCCACTTTGTATTTTTCTGCCATATCATACTGGTGTCTTTGTAAAGCAGATTAGAAAATGCTTTGTTATCTTAATGGACCTGGGCACTGAGGGTTAAGCTTTGAACACACCCGTGGCCACTATCAAACACACACACACGTATGCACACACCTGCACACATACTTGCACTCTCACACATGTGGGCATGGATGTGCACACGTATGCATCCACACATGCTCACTGTGTGTGCCCACGCCGAGGCCACGGTGAAGCTGTGCAGGAAAGCTGAGCCCTCGCTGAGCCACGGGCAAGGCTCGCTTCACCAGTAAATCCAGATGAGGCCCTGCAGGACACGACCCATCTTCCTGTGTTCCATTAACCTGGAATTGGGCAGCGTGCAGCTCCCACTCCTGACCAGGGATGCCACACTGTGTGCACACACACGGCACAACGGGCCTCAGGCCCCAGCACCCTTCCTGATGGCTCCCTGCACCTCTCCTCCGGCAGAGGCAGGGGAGTAGGGGAGTGCTCAACACCGTCCTGGCAGCTGAGCAGAGGCAGACGCTAGCGGCAGACACTGCCCAGGGCAACCATGCATGGAGGTGTCTATCGGCCGCACCACCCTGCAGAGCCGCTCATGGCTTCTCGGCCGGCGCCATGTGTGTGAGACTCAAAACCCACATCCCTGGGATAAGACTCTGGCCAAACGGAGCAGCCCCGGTGCTTCTGCCAGGACATGGGTGGCCGGGCCCTGCTCCCGCCTCTGGGAAGGTCTGCGCCTTTCGGCAGGGCACACACGTGTTCAGGACCAGCTGTTCTGAGGGATGAGTTGCTCATCAGTGTCTGAGAGGTAAATGCAAGGTGCAGTGCTGCTGCCTCTCACTCTCCTTCTCCGTACCACGAAGGCGTGCTTCCGCCTTCGGCAGTAAGTCATTTTTAGAAACGTTTGTTTTTATCTTTAACGCTCCCATTTACAATCACTATAGTGTGATTCTACTTGAAAGAGGCCGATTTGGTTTGGAACACGAACATCTGATTCTCAAAGCAAGCACACAGGCCTAGAGGGAGGCCGCAGGAGTCAAACTCTTTGCACAGTGGGGCCTCCCACAGGGCCCCTTGTTCAGAGCGCCTTCCCTTCTGCATCCCCCAAGTGGGGCCTGATGGGCACCAGCCTCAGAGCCCTGAGATTAATCAGCAAAATCTGTGCAAGGCCCGTGGCAACACCCAGCCCCGGGAACCACTCATCCTGGAACGCGTCAACCCCTCTGATCACGTTTGGAGTCGATTTTCTCACTAAACTAACTTTAAAAGCTTTGACCACCGATGGCAACTGCAGCACTACCACCATGTGAAGGCTCCAAGCCCGGGCTCCTGCAGGCACGTTCCAGCCACAGGAAAATGCGATATCTGCCCCCACCACGCAGATGCCTGCCGCCCACTCAGGGCCAGCAAGGCAGGGGAGAAGGTTGGGGAGCCCGAGCCGGGGGCTGCCCCTCAGACTGCAGGGGACGGAGGATTCTCAGATGTCAGTGGGCAGAGGGGAGATGGGCCTGCAGGGGCCCGGGCAGGCAAAGAGGCAGCCCCTGCTCCGTGGCTCCAGCTCAGCCTCAGCCTCCATGCGGTCACCACAGTAAAGAACAAACCAATCGCACTGGCAGCTGAACTCAGAGCCCCCCAGGGAGGAGGCCACAGTGAAGCGATGGCTGCTGTCACCGAGGGCCTGACCGTGAGGCCCAGACTGATGGGCAGGGCCTGGGACGCTGCGTGAGGCCGAGCTGGGACCCAGGCCCCCGCTGAGACATCAAAGGGGCGTTTGGGGTCTGAAGTACAAAAGCCAGAGGCTGAATGAAGGCGTCACGTGGGAACACGGTGGGGAAGCCACAGACAGGGACGAGGACACAGCCCCGATGTGTCAGATGCCCACAGGAGTCTCTGCACCCAAAGCCACCAGCACCCCATTCCAAAGTGATTACAGCTAAGACCACGTAACTCCGCAGAACAAGCCTTTCCCTTTCCACTGGAGCCCCCTCTTCCCGCATGAATACACAAGTGTCTCCACAGTCAGGACGGAGGACGCTGGGACCTGCCTGTCCAGCCCTTAGTTCCTCAGAAGACAGACTCCAGCCTTTTGCCAAATTAATGAACTTCCTGAGATACCTTAACTCTCTGTAGGATTCAAACACCTTTATGATGGGAAATGTAAGAAGAGAAGCAGAGATTAAGAGGCAGATTCTGCCACACAGTATTCCATTTTCCGAGATTTAATACCTAAAAATTTAATTTACATAGAAAAAATGTAAATGAGTCTCTGACCAAAACCACCTCTGGGGGTGGGGGAGGGGCGCCTGGGCAGCTCCGAGGGCCTGGCCAGGGTCACGTGGTCTTAAACTACAATTTAAAATTCCCCCAGGATCCCTGTGGCAGTTCTCTGATGGTGTGTGGAATGCTGTGAATTTGGCGTATGACTGTATCCTTTAAAAAACATGCCATTTCAGTGAAAATGGGAATATTTAAGGTGTAACCTGGGAGGTAAACATCTATTATTTAAAACATGAAGTTCATTTTAAGAAAAGTAATTTAAATACGTCACGGGCCCCACTGCACGGGCTTTCTGCCTCTGGCACAGTACAGAACCTGTCAGAATCCTATTTATAAAATTACCTGTCACAACAATGACCTCCCTTTGCCTGAACCTTAACTAAACAAAATGTATTATTCTACTGCTGAGGTGTAAGAGTTTCTGAGTTTCCTACACATTAAAATGTTTGTTTTTAGCTCCTGTGCTGGCCTCAGCACTTATAAGGTGACATGACAGATAGAGGATGATTGAGGCCAAATGTATTCAATGCGGAACTCAGCTGTGCGCACGCAGGGGAGGGAGGTGTGGGGTGGACAGAGGCAGCTCACGACTAGGAATGTCTCACCCTCCGCCCCATAGTCTGAGCTGCTGCACAGAAATGGAGCCAAGGCGACCTGGAGTCAGGCTCCTCTCCGGGCAGGGCACAGGAACAGCCGTCAGCCAAAGGGAAATTATGCATTTAGGGCCTACAAGTAAAACCTGCATTTTTCAAATTGCCCCAAGGAAGTCCCCACAGGGACGGAAAATCTGGCTCACAAACCGGTTTCAACCCCGATTCCCCCCACGCTGCGTTAATTTAAGAGATTGCCATGCTGTGTGGACAGCGCCTAGGGTCCTGTTTGCAGCCCTGGAATCCTATCACCCACAACAGCAGCCAGAGGTGACACTTCCAGGTGAAGCCCACGGGGCGCCTTGCGGGGCTGGGCCTGGGGCCAGGGGCCAGCGAACCAGGCCGGAGAACACGTTCCTCATGGGAGGACGTCCAGCCACATTCTCCACCAAAACACGAGAAGGAAGGCATCAGAGACCCTGTGGCTCCACCCTCGGTGCAGGGGCCTGGCCAGGATGACATGGCGGCCACTGCTGCAGAGCCAGGTGTTCCTGCAGGAACGAGGCCCACCTGACCCACAGCACGCCCGTCTGACCTATGGC